TGAAACATGTAAGTCTGTTCTAACATTGTTGATTCTCTTTAATGTGACCTATGTATAGACTCCAACCAGCATCTATACCTAAGCTGCCATCTGTATATATTACTAATATAAATACATTGAACATAGATACAGTTACATTGTTACATTTATCCAAACTATCCTGAAATTTAAAAATCAGTTGCCACCTATTAATGAGCTGAAATATTAATATATGTTTATATTAGTATATAAACCTAGTCACAAAAATACTCACACACAAATCTAATTGTTACCTAAAAAGCAGGTTAGTATATAACACTATGTATATAATCTGTAGATATGTTTACATTAAGAAAATAACTTTTGGCTGGGCTCAGTGGCTCATACCTATAATCTCAACACTCTGGGAAGCAAGGGTGGGAGGATAACCTGAGGCCAGGAGTTTGAGACCACTCAGGCCAACACAGCGAGACACATCTCCACAAAAATAAAAAGAAAAATAGCCAGGCTGCTGGCTTGTTCCTGTAATTCTAGCTACTCAGGAGGCTGAAGTGGGAGGATCGCTTGACCCCAAGAGCTCGAGCTTACAGTGAACCATGATCCCCACTGCATTCCATCCTAGGCGACAGAGTGAGACCTCAACTCTTAAAAAAAAGTCATGAAATAAAAGAATCATAAATGTTTCCTTAAGTAGAATATAACCAACTATACCTTATTATGAAACTAAACACTCAAAACAACTAGGATAAGAATGAAGTCTGATACAATTATAGATAATAAACACTGTAAAAGCAATGAAATGTGTTGCCAAGCACAGTGGCCTCCGCACTGGCAAACATGGTTCTAGCCGTGGGCATGGTATAACCTGCCAGCATGTCCAGCAAGTCAGGAATTCTTTGGATCTTGTCAAATTTCTTAAATTAGGAAAATGATCATGCTGTGATCTCTTAAGAAAACTGAAACATTTATCAGTTTACAATTCTATGAAAAATAGAGAATCTCAGTTATAAATCATAAATGACAAAGGTAGAGGGAATATATTACTCACTTCCTATATACAAATATCAAAAATTGAATTGAAATACTAAGGATGAGTAAGGGATCGCTCATCACTGTCCATGCTATGAGTAACAAAATCCCCTTGAACATTTTTAGTGGAATCTTCATCGTCTTGCAAGTGTTTGATTTCTTTTCCAGTCCTTCCCCAACCCCAGTGCCTCTTCTGTTACCTAAAATAAGGCATGTTGAAATGAGTACATGTTTTCTGAATGGGCAACATCTTCCGGGAAGGAAAATTCCTCACTTCTTTTGCAGAGGTAGGAAAAAGAAGAAGAAAGTTATCTCCCTAGGTACAGCTGACCAGCAGGTCAAACAGGTTAAACACTGAGCAAATAAAAAAACAGTGATAAATAAGAATTATTCACTCCATTTCTTATTAGCTTATCTTTGTCATTTCCAAACACCATCTGGTACATAATATATCAATTTACCAGGAGACCATAAACCAGGAAGTATTTCCAAATCTATCCACTGGTTACTTTATTTCCCCCTCCAGAAAAGAACGTCTCTAAGACTCAAACCTAAAAGGCTTAAAACTATCGCTTTTATTATTGTCAAGCAAAATAACATTTCTAATGCAGTAACCCAGTGAAAAGTGAACATTTACACTAGAATGGGTAATCTCATGATGGCTCAGAGAATCGTTCTCTGTACATAAGCAGTTAATCTCTCAGAATTAAAAGTTTATTAAGCTAAACGGCTTGACTCTTTTTAGCATTTCTTGAATATGTATTTTTGAATCCAATCTGATTCAAACCTTTAGACTTCCGCTGAAAAGAGATCAAAGCTGTGTCAATGTTGCAGACATTGTCTTGCATACGAGGGAACTGAGAATCCCAGTGAGATGGGTTAGGCTGTAGTGTAGCGAAGACCAGTGAGTGAGAACTTTTGCAGCACAGCTGTTTTTAGAATTTTGGAATGGGATTTAACCAATACTTCAGCATGAATCTAAGGAACTTTATCTGTTTAAGTACAAAATAAAAGTCAACATAAGAGCCAATATTGAAGAATGTGAACCTTAAATGGTAGCTCTCCATTTGCATTCAAGAATAACTTTTGTGCAGTAATCACCCCTACCTGGCCCCACCAAAAACAGTAAGAAACTTAAGCCCAAATATAAAGCAATGAAAAGGCCACAACCATGTTGAAAATAGTATTAATAGGATCCAAGGAATAATGCAAAATTAATGCAATGTAGGGAATTTTTTAGGCATTTCCATTTTCAAAAAACATCCTGAGAGATCCTTTTAAAACCTGGTAGCATTAAAACTAGACTTATAAAATACAGCAACCCAAAAATCACTTTGATTTACGTGCCAAAATCAATACACTTAACCAAGCAATATATATAAAACTGACTTCTGTGTAACTCTAATTAAACTACCCCAAACCGCTAATTTCATTAAAATAGAACTAAATGCTAGTATTGTAAAATATAAAAATAACAGATTGACACAATAATAAACACCTATTTATTATATTAAATACAAGCCTGAAATGTTAAGTACAAAGTACAGATTCCAAGAAATTACATTTCAGATCCCAAAATGTCCTGTTGGTGCTTTGACAACGAAAACAATGTTTTAGAAAGATTTTATTTCAGATCCTAAAACATAGCAACAATTTGGGGATAAAAGTAAGTAAAATCCAAAACTTCAAAGTTTATTCCAAATTCTTTTGAATCCCTATGGTGGCTGTAAACAGTTTTTAAATGTTCATAGCTTGAAGGAATGTGAATATCACAGTTTCTATGAATTTCTGCCTAGGAAGCCCAGCAACGTTACACAGTAGTTTCGTGTTTCCACAGTCCAGTCCTAACATTGCCAGTGCTATCGGTACCCAGCAAGGATCCCTCCTGCCCAGTGCTTTTAATTGGTCCATTCTGAATGGCCAAGTTGAGGCCATAAGATTTCTGCTGATTTTCAAGTTCAACCACAGCTGGCTTCCTTAACGCATCTTTTTTACTACTGGTTGAAACTGGCTTTTCGAAATTTCTGCTGCTTTTGGGAAGTGTGCTACAAGCATCACTGCTGTCTTGCTGGGGTGGGTTGTACTGTCTCTCTCTGTAGGCTAAATAAGCTCTTCGGCTCCTTGAGTGTCCTTCGTGATTGCCCAGCCGGCTTTTAGGTAAGCCGTTCTGCACGCTTCCTTCCACGCTCGTTGGGACATCGTAGGCATATTCTCTCAGGACTGTGAGTCGGCTTGCCCGGTGTCCTTTACTTCTGTTTTTATGGTGGCGGCCTGAGTGCACATTTGTTCGAAACTGAACTTCTAAAGGAGCCACGTGCATTTTAATATCGTTGTCCATCGAATGTTCTGTCAGACTATTATCAAGTTGAGGGGTGGAGTTCAAAGGTAAAGAATTGGCATGGCACTGAGCTGCAGCCGCCTGTAAGTTTGTTAACTTGCAGCCCTGGGAGGAATTTTTGAAGCTTGAAGCACTTTTGTTTGTGCATGAAGACTCCGCACTGCTATTGGCGCACTTGGGCGCCTCTCCATTTGTCCCGCTGGAGTTGGGGGGCTGGACATTGACTTGTACTGAATACGAGCTCCGTCCTGGGCAGCAAGTCATGATCCACGCAAGTCTAACGTCCTCCCTATTAACACAATGGTGGACCATGAAGAACGCACTGAAGCTTAAACATGCGGCTCCAAAAACGAAGCTAAACACCAAGTCCAAAGGGTAATACAAAGAAACAGCCAAAGCCCCAAACATCCACAATGCAACATATAAGAGCAAAGTAAGGCTGGCCCCCAAAAGCTGAGAATGAAAAGTGTGCTCATTTTCCAAGGCTGATGTAGAAACCAGAGACAAAGACATTGAATCCTGATGATTTATTTCTCCATTTTCATTGGCTGCCAATCTCTGTTGCTCCTCCGTGGGCTCCTTAAGCTCATATTTGCGCTCAGGGTGTCTTTTCAACTGAATAAATATGCTCAGAAAGTACATGCAGTTTACAAAAGTGATGAAGCTGGCTGGCCCGTAGAAGGCTCCCAAGGAGGGTTCCCACGCCATCCAGCAACTGGAAAAGAATATGGTAAACTAGATCGATGCTTCATGTTTCAACACGTTATTTAAGAAACTGCAATCACCTATAATGCCTAGAAACTACTTAAAAGAGAAACAACTGGGTCAAATACACAGAGAATATAAAATACTCACTAGGGTGCATTTGGCCGACTGCCATAATTCTTAATGTTCGCTGCTGCGGTTATGCCGCAGACAATGATAGGGATACCACCGCCAATCAGGTAAAATCTGGAAGGAGGAACCACAGAAAAACCACTCATCACTCCGCTTTTTAACATGTTATCTATCATAACATCTCAGTACTTCAAAAGTCATTCCCTGAAGATTACCTATTATTTTTATTCCAATAATAAGCTGAGAGTTTCGTTCGGGAGGCTGATTTATTAGCAGTAATGTGTTTTTGTTTTGTTTTTTAGATTTCTTGTTTTAAAGCACAGGTCTAGTGAGTTTCCGAGTAGAGGAACGCTGATCAGCTTCTGCCACCTTGTGGCCACGCAAAGTAACACTCTGTGCCTGCAGGTAGGGTTTCAGCTTTTTGTGTGTGTGTGGGGAGGGAACTGGCTTCTTTTAGATTCAGCCGGTGAATTGAAAAGTGTCATAGTTCATACAAAAAATGTAACGACATATTAATTATTGATTAATGTTCAGCTCAGCCTGCATGTCCCAGGACTGCCCACTGCTGTGTATCTCATCCCCAGTCCACTGAGATTGAGGTAAGGAGGGTATCTGCATCCCAGCCGCTTCACTAGTGCAGAGGCCCTACCTGACCCCTTTTCCACAGAGCAGCAGGGGACAGCAAGGGAAATGATGGTGCAATAAAAGCTGATTGAAACAGAGCAGTGACTGGTCCTACAAAGAAATATTTTGTGGTCATCTCTGAGCTCCTTGATCTCTCTGAAAAAGAAATTTCCATCCAGGATGGATACTCCTGGGTGAGTCAATCTTAATTTTGCATTTGCTCCTTCCTGAGACATAGCCCCAAATCTTGCATTGGGTGGATAAAGGCAGTATCTGTGATACATTTGTCTATATATTGTTCCTTCGTCATACCTAGTTACTAAAATCCTTTAACATGATGTTAGTACTGCTGAAAAGAAAACTAATTACCCTATAAAACTGT